GCTGTGCTCCACTTCTTTCTGCTGCAGGTGTTAGAGTTGAACCCTTTGTGTCTCTCTGGGAAGGTGTTCTGCTCCTGAATCAGCTGGGTGGGTCTTGCCTCTAGCCTCTTTGCAGGGAGTTCTGCTGAAGGGTTTCGTGCTGGGCCTGCATGCAGCCTGGGTCAAATGGGGATCCCCGGGCCCTGGGTCATCTCATTCACTGGCCGGGCCTGCGCTCTGTTCAGGATTCCGCGGCCCTGGGTCGTCTCACTCACTCAGGGGGCCTGCGCTCTGGGTCTGTTCAGGATCCCGCAGCCCTGGGTTGTCTCACTTACTCGCGGGGCCTGCGCTCTGGGTCTATTCAGGATCCGGAGGGCCCGGTGGTCTCACTCACTCCCCGGGCCTGCGCTCTGAGTCTGTTCAGGATCCCGCGGCCTCGGTTGTCTCACTCACTCGCTGGGCCTGCACTCTGGGTCTAGCATTCACTTATGAACATACTGAAGTGTTGTCACTTTCTGTCAATAAGTGCACTTTTATCAAGTTTTGCAGGTGTTAAGCAATGGTGTGTTGAGCATTGTTGGCTATTTCTGGTACATGCATTTCTCTATACCTACTACCTAGGGGTGGAATAATGGGGGACTTGGTGTAAATTTTGTTTCAGTACTGAGGACTGAACTCAGGGTCTTCTTGCTGGGCCACATCCCCTGCCACCCACCCACTTTCAGAGACAAGGTCTAATTACATTGTCTGGGCTGGGCTGGGCTTGAACTTGTGTTCCAGTGATCTTCTGGCCATAAGCCTCCCAGAGTGCTGGAGTTACCAGCATGAATCCACTATCCTTGACTTAAATCAATTTTTTTCTTTTTTGCGGTACTGGGGATTGAACTCGGGACCCTTCGCTTGCCAGGCAGGCACTTACTCTACTGATCTATCTCCCCAGCTTTGAAAACCATTTTTTTTTTTAAACCATTTTTTTTTGAAAACCATTTTTAATGCTAGTAAATTTTGCTAGCATATTTTTCAAAATGATGTATACTCTCAGTAGTCATGAAAGCACTTGTTTTGCTTATTCTTTGTCTAGTACTTACTACAGTTACACTCAGAACTTTTGTTAGGCACATAGAGGAGTAAGAGTCTCTCACTGGAATTTTAATTTGTGTTTTCCTTATTATTAGCCAAACAGAGTCTTCTGTGCTTAGTAGCTATCTAGATGTCATCTTTCAGGAAGGAGCATGTCCACATTTTTACCCATTGTCCTATGGGTTTGTCTTTTTAGCGATTCACAAGAAGCTTCCCCTTTCTATTCTTACAGCCACATGTATCACAGATGTGGTATGTAACTTGTCTTTTTAGAGTGAGGTTCTCTGTCAGTTGTCCAGGCTGGCCTCAAAGAGACGCTTCTACCTCAGCCTTGTTAGTGCTGGGATTAAACAGCCCTGTGCCACTACACCTGGCATCTTTTTACTTCCCATAGTGCTTTTTTTTTTTTTTTTGGTGGAACCGGGGATTGAACTCAGACCCTTGTGCTTGCTAGGGAAGCGCTTATTCCACTGAGCCATCTCCCCGGCCTCCCATAGTGCTTTTTGATACTTACATTTTAACATAACTGAATTTCAGGTTTCTCCTTCATGATACTGTATTTTGATTTTTTGAGGTACTGGTGATTGAGCCCTGGGCCTTTGAACTGGACTATATCCACAATCCTTTTTATTTTTTTGGACAGGGTCCCCAGAATTCCCCAGGCTTGGTTTGAATTTGTTGTTCTCTTTGCTCAACTTGTTAGAATGCGGGAATTACAGGGTACACAACTGCACCTGGTACCTGGTAGGCTTAAGTCTTCCTGCATAACCTGCCCCTACGGGATCTGCGTCAGCACTGTTCATTAGCCTGTTCTTTACTACTCTCAAGTGTCAGCTGAAGTGCTTCATGGTCCTACAGACAGTATGCCTGCCCCAGGAATCACTGCATGCTTCTGCTCACTTATTCTGAGCTGTAGACACTTTTGAGGGTTCACGTTTATGTTCATGATAAACCTGACAAGTAAATTTGATGTGTAATGAAGTGGCAAGGCTTAATCTTATTCCTGCCTATTACTAGTTGACTCCATTGGCAAGTTATTCATACAGCCTCAGTTTTCTCTTGTATAAAATGGGAATATTAGTCCTGTCTCTGGAGATGGAGTACTTTACACACATGCCCTGAGATCTAAAAGATGTTCTTTCTGTGTCCTCTCTAAACAAAGCACCCGTTAGCCCAGAACCTTGGCCACTGTGTACTCACTGGCTCAAGCCAGACCTCGGTGTTTCTCCTAGCACCTTTTCTCTTCTGTCCTTACTCATCATTCCTACCACTGCCCACACCAGTTTCATCTTGTTGAAGTGTAGGAACTGGCTGACACCTGGAAGGTTGGGGCCCACAACAGGGATTCCACATGGTGCAGCAGAGGTGGCGCTGTTTCCTTTGGTACCACACAGCCCCCCCTGCAGGTCTGATGGTCTCCGGGTGGACTCTGCCTCTGTTCTCTGGGCCTTTCTCCTTAGCATTTTTTTTTTTTTTTTTTTTGACGGAACCAGGGATTGAACTCAGGCCCTTGTGCTTGCCAGGGAAGCACTTATTACACTGAGCCATCTCCCCGGCTCCTCTCCTTAGCATTTAACATCCTTTTTACTCTTTGATATGCAAGTCAGATTCTGGGAATTGACCAAAACCCTTCAAAGTTGGGAATGTTTACAGTATGACTAATTAGCATACAGGAAGAAAATATGAGCATGGTACTGTTCCTTAAAAGTTCATCTATTACTGGTGCCATGTGTGTACTTATTTTTATAATGTATGGGTTAAGGACATTATTGGTGTGGCACAGCCTCTAGAGCACTTAGATTAAGCTAAATACTCTTACGTATTCTTGGATGTCTCCTTTATCTGTATCCCATGCCAGTCTCTAATGTTTCTTGTGACTGTCTCCAGAATACCTTTCGGTCTTTTAGGTTATTTGGACCCAAGTTTTTCTCTGGATTATAAGCTGAAAATACTAAACTTAAATACTTGTGTAAATATTTAAATTTATATAATGGAGAATTCACACAGACTATTAAAGAAAAAAGATTTGCTTAATTAAAAGAGGAAGGGCAGAAAGTTCACAAAGGAAATGTTTATACTATTAACTTTAAAAAGTTTAACATTTTAAATTAAATTGTATAATATTGAACCTAACTTTTACAATTATATTCTGACAGGAAACCCATCTCGAAGATCCAAGTCTGTACCTCCTCAAGATTTAGGCAACTCAGATAAACAAGTAAATATTTTTATATTTCTTCATATTCAAATATAGGGACTCAGGCTTGAAACTGATTTTTTTTTTTTTTTAATAAACATCGTATAAAGGATTATAAATACCTAGTTTTTGTTTTTTGGGGTTTTTTTTTGCAGAACTGGGGATTGAACTCAGGGCCTTGTGCTTGCCAGGCAAGTGCTTATTCTACTGAGCCATCTCCCTGGCCCCAATACGTAGTTTTTGTATGATAACAAAATCTGGTCCTAGAGCTCTGTAACCTTAGGGTCTGTCCTTAGGAAATAAGTATAGGTTTTAACTGCTCTGATGTCTTATCTTACAGGCTGTCTTGCCTAGCAAGCCACTTGAAGAGGTCAACTTTGTAGATCTTGAATATAAAGAGAAGGAAGAAAAAGACGACGTTCAAGAAGAAATCAGTCATCTTGATGGAAAGGTGTTGTTTTTTTTTTTTTTTGCGGAACTTGGGATTGAACTCAGGCCCTTGCGCTCGCCAGAGAAGCACTTATTCCACTGAGCCATCTCCCCAGCCCTGGAAAGGTGTTTAAGATGTAAAAAAGGAATGTGAGTTAGAGTGAAAATGCTTAAAGTATGGTCATCTGCTGCTTAGCAGGGAGGCATACATGTAACAGCCATGCTGTTGGGTGACTGTGTCATTGGGAACATTGTAGAATGATAGTATAGCCCAGTACACATGTGAAGTGTGTTTTACCTGTGTATCCTGTCTGCCTGCCTGCCTACCTACCATGCCCGGTAGTTTATCATGATAAATGAAACATCATAAACATTAGATCAAGATTAGAAGATTGTGATGTACTCACTATAAAAAATGCAGTGAGTACAAGATGTGCAAGGCTGGTGCTGGTGAAGCATGGATTCCTGTTCACAGTATTTTAAGTAGGAGTGTTTTTTTTTTTTTTTTTGCGGTACCAGGTATTAAACTCAGGCCCTTGCCCTTGCCAGGCAAGTGCTTATTTATTTTTTCAAAACATAGTGTAGAAAATACATGACAGTTAACAGTTACTCTCAGATATTATGCACTTTACATAGTTGTGTGTTCTGTACTTTCACATGACTTCCAGTGAAGATTATTTACATCACTGCAAGCCCAAGCGTCTCAGAAAGCACCTTGATAATATTAGCGGGGCCTTAGCTTTAGAACTATGGGGCTTGAACCTCTGCACTCCTAACAGTCATTTACTTACCATTTATAGTTTACCAGTATAACCGGCAGAATATAGTGCTACCCTTAAAACTGGTTCTTGTGGCAAACAGAGCTTAAAGCCTGTACAGCTGCTTCTGACCCTCTTCAGTAAGCTTTCTTGTCTCAGTCGCCCATCTGCAGCCCACTTAGGAAAGTATCTGGCAAAACAGCCTAGCTGGGTGTCCCATCTGAAAGGGAAAGAAAGGAAAGGACAAAAGCAGAGTTTGCTAGGAGGAGGTGATGAGGGCTTTTTTCCTTAGATTTATGGAGAATCTGCTTTTCAGGTATCTTTACTCATTTTAATAGGAATTATAGGCCTGTGAAATGAGAGGATGGAGAGTAATGGTTAAAGGAAGCAATCAGGCTTTCCCTGAGTGTCCTATGTGGCATCAAATCATTGAACTTTTCTGATTCAGATGAATTCCAGCCAATAGAGAAAAGGAATTAAGCAAATTTTAAAAATCACCAATTTGCAACCCCTACTGAAATAAAGGATCTTCTCTTCTTTTGAGATGTTTTTATGAAAAAATTTCAAAGGAAACACTTAGAATTTGGCCTACGGTGGTTATATGATTTCAGGAAGAACTCTTACCCACTGATAATCTTGTGTCTTTTAGGTGGAAAAGGTTTATAAGAATGGGAACCGGGTTATATTGTTTCCTAATGGAACTCAGAAAGAAGTGAGCACGGACGGGAAGAGCATCACTGTCACTTTCTTTAATGGTGATGTGAAGCAGGTCACACCAGATGACAGAGTGGTATGTTCCCTGGTGTGTTTCTTCTCAGTAGCCCGTTTTGGGAGAACAGTGTCCTGACTTGTGTCTTTACAGATCTACTACTACGCTGCTGCCCAGACCACTCACACCACGTACCCCGAAGGACTTGAAGTTCTGCATTTCCCAAGTGGACAGATAGGTACACTCTTGCTCTGCCTCCCTCGGTCAGTTCTTCCCTTCCTTTGAAAGTATTTACAGTGACCTTTTTTAAATAGAAAAACATTTCCCAGATGGAAGAAAAGAAATCACATTTCCTGACCAGACCATTAAAAACTTATTTGCTGATGGCCAAGAAGAAAGCATCTTCCCAGATGGCACAGTTGTCAGAGTACAACGGTATGGTCCTGCTAAATCTGCTTTTTTTTTTTTTTTT